ATTAAAGAGAACTTACGATAAGTTAGGGTGAACAAGGGGAATCCCAAGGGTTTGAAAGTGTAATGGCAGGCTTGAGAGATAATGAATACCAGAGCATGACAAATTCAACTCTTGGGAAAGCGAAATCTAACCAATCTTCATTCCTGATCCTCCTGCAAGTCCCTTCCACAATCCAGGTGATTGAATCTTAGATGGAATTGCTATGCAGTTTTTCTTTGTTCATAGAAGAAGCCTGTTGGGTTGGAGAACTCATTACTAATTTAATGAATGTGGCTTAATTGTTGATAAACTTTGCTAATTATTTCTTCTGCCAGCTAGAAGCCTCCTTCGTGGGTCACAGGAAATCAAAAAACTTTTTTTTGTGTTTGTGTTTGAAAAAGCTGGAGAGGGGTGGATGGATTATGAAGACTAAAAGGGATCAAACAGCTTGCTAAATCTTTGATTTGTTACAGAAACTAAAAGCTGTTTGTGTAATATGGTTTTTCATTGACCTTGTAACAAGAAAATCAATCTTCAATTCTATCTAATTGATTATTTCATAACTTATTCATTTAATAAAACTAAAACAATCATAAATATAATTGGTCAAAGGATCAAATGAATGATAGTCTAAGTTCTTATATATGAACCATTATGGTAATGAGTCAAATTATTTACGAGAAAAAACTTGATATAATATCAAACAGATTTAAACTGTCTGTATTAGGTCAACTTTGAGGCTAATTGTTGTTAAATAGTTAATCTTTAATAAGATGATTGGTTATTGATAAGTTAATTTGTTACCTATGGTTTAGACGGGCGGAATTCACAATATGTGAAACGTTGTTCATTGATGAAGTTAATTAATATCTGGTTTTAAACTTTAAGGGGCTAGCTTTGTGGTCAAAGAAGTTGTTTTTTTTTTTTTTTTGAGTTCTTGGGTTCAAACCTTGGGTCCCTATCAATCACAATGGCTCCGTTTGGTTTACAATTTTGTATTTTTGGAAAGTTTTTTGAAAAAAGTTAAAGAAAAGTTAAATTGGACGGGTATTATGATGTAGGATTACAAATTAAAATAACTCCCTGTGTTGTTTATTTACAAAACACCCCCTAAATAAAACATAAAGTAACAAAAAACCCCCAACCTCACCCTCAAATACGGACGGCCGGCCACCACCACCGGAAGGTGGTTGGATTCATCGTATCGGCGCATGATCAGCTGGATCTGTGCGTCATGGTCTATGACCTTTTCCGGCAAAGGCCGATCTACGGCTAGATTTGGCCATTGATGACCAGATCTGCCGTATTTTCTCGTCAACGATGGCCAACAAACGGTCGTCGTTGACCATCAACACGACCATTTGTTGGCGTCGTTACTGACTGGTTACGGCCAAGATCTGGCCGTCAACGGCCAGATCTTGGCCTTAGATCTGGCCTTTTTTGACCAGATCCACCATGGATCTGGCCGGAAAAGGCTAGATCGGCTACTATCGCCAGATTCAGCTGGTATGTGCCATCCACCAGATTTCGGCTATTTTTCGGTGGTGGTGCCAAATCTGGTAAATGTGGATTGCTGGGGTGTTTTTACAATTTTTAAAAAAATATTTAGGGTATTTAATTAAATTAACAAATTTAGAGGGTTTAAAAAGTTGAATAATATGAGAGTAGTATTCCCAAAAATAAGAGTTTTTTGTTATTTTATTGTTTAACTTTTTTGGAATACTAAAAGTAGTATTCCCAAAATGCAACCAACCAAAGCTAATACATTGTGGTTTATCTGATTATTTGGACTGTACATGTTTTCATGGACCATAACAATTAGTTGAGATACGCATAAACTGGTTCGAATACCCCGATTACAAAAAAAATAAATAATAATAATAATACTAAAGATAATGCATGAGAATCAAGCATATCATATTATACCAAGTATAGTCATAGTTTAAAAAATAATTTCAATCAATTGAAATAAGTAAGGTAGAACATGTTACCTTAAGCCCTTAGCAACCTTGGAGTCTCTTAATTTCAAGAGAAATAAGCAAAAGAGTATCCACACCAGAAGAAGAATTTGACCAAGAGGGAGATTTAGGGTTTCTAAGATTTTTTCTCTTCTCTAAAATTGATATATCATTTTCTTATATAGGATCCTAACAATTCAATAATTGTTTTGGACTTCCTTAACTCCATAATTGTTATGAAGTTGTTAAACTTCTTTAAATGAAACATTGGATTAGCATTTAATCACAATAACTTTAACTCTTAAATTGTTTACATAACAATTTAACCCTTAAATTGTTACAATTACAACCCCTTGTAAACTCAATTTAATATAAGAAAATGTTTCATTAAATAACTTTATACCCTTGGTAGGTGCAGCCACCTTGGATAATCAACTCTCTTTGGCTATTTCTCAATTCTCTTAGTTTTATGTGTGACCTCTTAGGTTCACTGTGGCCTAGCCGTGGGCCCAATATCATAACTATTTCGATATGTTTTGTCATACTCTTTATAACAAACTCCCACTGATTATGGTAGGCATCTAGCAATGCTCCATAACCCTAAATCACAATGGATATACTACCAACGAACCTTTTACAATCATACATATTTTATAATCAAATCCTTCCGTTATCTAATCCCAATTAAGAATGGATTCATGGTATGTCAAAATCCTTATCTAATTTTAATTTATACTATGGACCGTGTCACTATGAAGCAACCTTTCATGTAACATTTTGTATACCCCGGCCGGAGATTTCCCTTTTCCAATGTATCTTGACATTTGTCTAGGAACTTGATATCAATCTATACCAACCAATTCGGTTATTACACATGACATGATTAGCCTCATGTTTATACACCATATGAACCATATGCGTTTATGCAGAATCCAACCGTGATATCTCAAGTCTAAGATTAATAATACCCTAGTACGATCTTATGATAAATCATTGACTACATTTTAAATGTCCATGTGATTCATTATAAATGGCCATATTCGATAAACATTCACTAACCGCGTATCCATGCAATGCCCTAGTGATATAACTTTTATAATCACCCACACCAATACCATCACATGATATCTACGGAGGCATTCGCATGCCTACTATGTAATATATGCCAATTAATATTACCTATGTAGGAATACTTTGATGATTTTGATCTTCTAAGATTTGTATCATCCGACATTTCACATGTAATACATATATATAAATGAAGCAATAAACCACATATGAATAAGAACACTTTTTTTTATTGATAATATATACAATTATCTACAAACTATATACATTCACATATATATACAAAACATAATGCCTCGGAACCGATGACACGATTGGTTCCTAGGGCATACACTAACAAATACTTGGTTTTTAAAAACCAGAAAAAAAATCATGTTGACTTTAGAACAATTCTCGTCAACCACTTTAATTAACAACTCTTTGAGCTAATTAATAACTTACTTCTTTAAATAATAGAAAAAATATTCTTTTAACTTTAATTTCTTTAATTAACCATTTATAACACACTTATAAAATCCAATAATGCTAAAGCTACCGATTAAACTACCGATTTGACATACTGACTCTTGGTGAATTGAGTTAAATTTTGAGATTTGGATAATTGGGCAGTGGGTCGGTTTGTCAAAATCGGTAATTTAATCAGTAAGTGTAGCAAGGTCCTATAAAATCTCTTAAAACTCTATACAAAGTTATGTGTAGTCATGATGGAATTGCCATGTCATCTGATTGAAATTAATTAAAATTTTTTAAATTAATTATTCTATTAACTAGACTCTAGCTATCGCAAAGTTGAGGGTTTTATTTCTATCGTTTTTATGTTTCCAGTCCTTTTAAAATCAATTTTCATTTACATATTGGTTTCGCTAATTTATATTATATTATTGGAGATGCCAAGAAGTATTGTACCCCCACCATATTCTATTCTATTATCTTATCCTAAAAAATGAAAAATGTGTTTGTTTTAATATTGTTCAAAATCCAATTATATTCTATTTGATTCAAAATATTTGACAATTACCTTTCTCAGTAAAAGTTTATAGATTAACAAAAACACCCTTTCCCACCCAAGCAACAGTTGCCTGCCAGCTGTCGCTGTTGCCACCGCCAGAACGATGCATGATTGGTCAAATCTAACCGATCGTGTGTTGATCTACGGCCAAAGATCTGGTCGTTGACGAGGGCCAAACGACGACTAGATTTCTAGCCATCGTTTGACCATAGATCTAGTTGTTTCTAGTTAGATCTATGGTGGATTTGGTCGAAAACGACCAAATCGGCCAAATCTAGACGATCACGCGTCATTCCAATGACTTTTGACCATCGTTCGACGGTGGTGGCAAGCTACTAGCAATCAGGTGGGTGGGTGGGGGTGTTTTTTTTAATTTATAAACTTTTGTTGAGGAGTGTTTAGCTAAATTAATAAATGTAGGGGGTTAAAAAATAATTTAAATATTTTCATAAAATGTTTTCCAAAAATGTACCAAACACATTTTCAAAATCCTATCATATTCTGAATAAAATACTATTCAAAAAAGTGTATCAAACGGAGCCGTAGTGTCGCTTGTCAATCGTGTGCAGTCACCATTACCCCCACCAGTAATGGTGACTGCACACGATATATATATATTTTAGTAAAGAAATTATTTTAAAAAAATCAATATTAGTCATTTTACAATTTCTTAAGGGAATATTTGGTTCAAGGAATATTGTATTTCTGAGACTGTTATATTAATGAGAAGATAGATTACTTTGAAGATTACTGAGAATGTTATATTAAATATGTTTGATTAGATTGTAATAAAATAAATAATTAATATATTTGGTTGGGAGGAACAAAAGAATTATGGGAGAAACCTTTTACTGAATTGCCCTTCTTTTTTTAATACTATTATTATTATTATTAGGATTATTTTTTAACATCCTACATTTGAGAATTTAGCTAAAACACCCAAACCATAACAAAAGTTTAAAATTTAAAAAAATACTCCAAGCTACCCAAGACCGCAACTGCATGCCGACCCTCATGACACCAACCCTCACCTCCTTTGGCCATCGATCGGTGACCCTTTGCCTTCCCCCATTGTCGACTGTCCTTGCCATCTCCTCCATGTCATCATGACACTTCGTCTCCCTCACTGTCGGAAACGATTTGGCTTCCAATGATGTTTCCTCCATTTTTTGATGACATTTACCCTTCCCCTATGTAGATCGGCCACCATAGCTTCATCTCCACCTTCACCCGAGCTCTCCCACGTTGATTCCATCGAAGATTGGCTATGATTGATCGTATTCCGTCGGTGACCGTTCATCTTCTTTACCGGATTTCGCTCACTTTTCAATGATGTTTGGGCTCCCCAACACCTGATCTACCTCTCCTTATGTTTGATCATCATTTCACCATTGGTGATGGTGGTCGATTATGGTTAGGGCTGTTAGCCAAGTAGAGCTGCTCGCAGAAAATTTCTAGAGGTTTGCCTTTAGGGATACGTTTAATCAGGTGTTTGATTGCAGGCCGAATCACCAAAAGACAAATGAAGTGTAGATGATAATAATGGCAAGCTGCTTAAGAGCATTGTCAACATTTTCTCTGAACAAGCTAATAATCATGAAGAGAGAACGCACAAAACGTCAGAAACATTGCAGAATCTGTGCGATTCGCCTAGTTCTGAATTTATGATCTTCAATTCACTGAGCATACAAGTTATGACTGGATACGTGAGCAACATAACCAATGAAATCCCCAAAGCTTTAACCCTTTCTTCTTCACTAAGACAGAAAACCTGTAGGATTGTTACTGAAAATACTGCCGCGGTACAATGGCCAGTATCCGATAATACGGCCCTTCTACTCACCGTATCACATGCTGGATCCATTTTAACTCCACTAAAGAAGAGAAGGCCAGCATAGCCAACGCCCAAATACTCCGATCCCGTTTATGGCTTCACTTGTTATCAATTTCCCGGAAGCAGTTTCTCCAATTACTGCTGGAGAGAGTATCAGGCCAGCCTGGTAATTCATAAAATCATCACAATTTGTTATTAACATTAATGAACAATTACAAGATATTATTTAGCTAAAATTAAAGAGAACTTACGATAAGTTGAGGGTGAACAAGGGGAATCCCAAGGGTTTGAAAGTGTAATGGCAGGCTTGAGAGATAATGAATACCAGAGCATGACAAATTCAACTCTTGGGAAAGCGAAATCTAACCAATCTTCATTCCTGATCCTCCTGCAAGTCCCTTCCACAATCCAGGTGATTGAATCTTAGATGGAATTGCTATGCAGGTTTTTCTTTGTTCATAGAAGAAGCCTGTTGGGTTGGAGAACTCATTACTAATTTAATGAATGTGGCTTAATTGTTGATAAACTTTGCTAATTATTTCTTCTGCCAGCTAGAAGCCTCCTTCGTGGGTCACAGGAAATCAAAAAACTTTTTTTTGTGTTTGTGTTTGAAAAAGCTGGAGAGGGGTGGATGGATTATGAAGACTAAAAGGGATCAAACAGCTTGCTAAATCTTTGATTTGTTACAGAAACTAAAAGCTGTTTGTGTAATATGTGTTTTTCATTGACCTTGTAACAAGAAAATCAATCTTCAATTCTATCTAATTGATTATTTCATAACTTATTCATTTAATAAAACTAAAACAATCATAAATATAATTGGTCAAAGGATCAAATGAATGATAGTCTAAGTTCTTATATATGAACCATTATGGTAATGAGTCAAATTATTTACGAGAAAAAACTTGATATAATATCAAACAGATTTAAACTGTCTGTATTAGGGTCAACTTTGAGGCTAATTGTTGTTAAATAGTTAATCTTTAATAAGATGATTGGTTATTGATAAGTTAATTTGTTACCTATGGTTTAGACGGGCGGAATTCACAATATGTGAAACGTTGTTCATTGATGAAGTTAATTAATATCTGGTTTTAAACTTTAAGGGGCTAGCTTTGTGGTCAAAGAAGTTGTTTTTTTTTTTTTTTTGAGTTCTTGGGTTCAAACCTTGGGTCCCTATCAATCACAATGGCTCCGTTTGGTTTACAATTTTGTATTTTTGGAAAGTTTTTTGAAAAAAGTTAAAGAAAAGTTAAATTGGACGGGTATATGATGTAGGATTACAAATTAAAATACTCCCTGTGTTTGTTTATTTACAAAACACCCCCTAAATAAAACATAAAGTAACAAAAAACCCCCAACTCACCCTCAAATACGGACGGCCGGCCACCACCACCGGAAGGTGGTTGGATTCATCGTATCGGCGCATGATCAGCTGGATCTGTGCGTCATGTGTCTATGTGACCTTTTCCGGCAAAGGCCGAATCTACGGCTAGATTTGGCCATTGATGACCAGATCTGCCGTATTTTCTCGTCAACGTGGCCAACAAACGGTCGTCGTTGACCACAACACGACCATTTGTTGGCGTCGTTACTGATGGTTACGGCCAAGATCTGGCCGTCAACGGCCAGATCTTGGGCCTTAGATCTGGCCTTTTTTGACCAGATCCACCATGGATCTGGCCGGAAAAGGCTAGATCGGCTACTATCGCCAGATTCAGCTGGTATGTGCCATCCACCAGATTTCGGCTATTTTTCGGTGGTGGTGCCAAATCTGGTAAATGTGGATTGCTGGGGTGTTTTTACAATTTTTAAAAAAATATTTAGGGTATTTAATTAAATTAACAAATTTAGAGGGTTTAAAAAGTTGAATAATATGAGAGTAGTATTCCCAAAAATAAGAGTTTTTTGTTATTTATTGTTTAACTTTTTTGGAATACTAAAAGTAGTATTCCCAAAATGCCAACCAACCAAAGCTAATACATTGTGGTTTATCTGATTATTTGGACTGTACAGTGTTTTCATGGACCATAACAATTAGTTGAGATACGCATAAACTGGTTCGAATACCCCGATTACAAAAAAAATAAATAATATAATAATACTAAAGATAATGCATGAAATCAAGCATATCATATTATACCAAGTATAGTCATAGTTTAAAAAATAAATTTCAATCAATTGAAAAAGTAAGGTAGAACATGTTACCTTAAGCCCTTAGCAACCTTGGAGTCTCTTAATTTCAAGAGAAATAAGCAAAAGAGTATCCACACCAGAAGAAGAATTTGACCAAGAGGGAGATTTAGGTTTCTATAGATTTTTTCTCTTCTCTAAAATTGATATATCATTTTCTTATATAGGATCCTAACAATTCAATAATTGTTTTGGACTTCCTTAAACTCCATAATTGTTATGAAGTTGTTAAACTTCTTTAAATGAAACATTGGATTAGCATTTAATCACAATAACTTTAACTCTTAAATTGTTTACATAACAATTTAACCCTTAAATTGTTATCAATTACAACCCCTTGTAAACTCAATTTAATATAAGAAAATGTTTCATTAAATAACTTTATACCCTTGGTAGGTGCAGCCACCTTGGATAATCAACTCTCTTTGGCTATTTCTCAATTCTCTTAGTTTTATGTGTGACCTCTTAGGTTCACTGTGGCCTAGCCGTGGGCCCAATATCATAACTATTTCGATATGTTTTGTCATACTCTTTATAACAAAACTCCCACTGATTATGGTAGGCATCTAGCAATGCTCCATAACCCTAAATCACAATGGATATACTACCAACGAACCTTTTACAATCATACATATTTTATAATCAAATCCTTCCGTTATCTAATCCCATTAAGAATGGATTCATGGTATGTCAAAATCCTTATCTAATTTTAATTTATACTATGGACGTGTCACTATGAAGCAACCTTTCATGTAACATTTTGTATACCCCGGCCGGAGATTTCCCTTTTCCAATGTATCTTGACATTTGTCTAGGAACTTGATATCAATCTATACCAACCAATTCGGTTATTACACATGACTGATTAGCCTCATGTTTATACACCATATGAACCATATGCGTTTATGCAGAATCCAACCGTGATATCTCAAGTCTAAGATTAATAATACCCTAGTACGATCTTATGATAAATCATTGACTACATTTTAAATGTCCATGTGATTCATTATAAATGGCCATATTCGATAAACATTTCACTAACCGCGTATCCATGCAATGCCCTAGTGATATAACTTTTATAATCACCCACACCAATACCATCACATGATATCTACGGAGGCATTCGCATGCCTACTATGTAATATATGCCAATTAATATTACCTATGTAGGAATACTTTGATGATTTTGATCTTCTAAGATTTGTATCATCCGACATTTCACATGTAATACATATATTAAATGAAGCAATAAACCACATATGAATAAGAACACTTTTTTTTATTGATAATATATATACAATTATCGTCAAATTTGGAAAAAAAAAAGAAGAAAAAACAAGTTTTAAAAACTATTCCTATGATTTTAAGCTTTAAGATTAATAGTGGATATAAAACCAATCAATCTCGTAACTTTATAATATAAATAAGTACTTCGTCCAAGTTCCAACTGACAAAATCATGATTCTTTCTTAGTATAATCTTTTACTGAATAAAATATAAGCTTGTTAATAAAAAAGATAAATTTATGAAACCAAATCACCACCTCACATATTCTCAAAAACCTCAATTAATTATTTCTAAATGATTGAGTAATTCGATAGAGATGTTTAGGTTATTATTCAAGAGGTCTTGAATTCGAATCATTTTTCAATTGCTAATAGGGATAGCCACTAGAACTCTTACCAGACTAGTAATTTCAGGGCCTTAGGAAATTAGTTGCGGTACACGTAAACTAATCCAAACACTCTCGATCATTTAAAAAAAAAGAAAAAAAAACCCTCTTATCAATATGGTCAGCTACTCAGCTACTTTAACCCATGACATATGATGAAGGGAAAGAAGCTAGACCAAGAATGATTTGTTTTTAAATAATATATTTTGTTATATCATGAAGGGACAAATAGTAATTAAGATGGATATTTTATTAATCTAATACAATCAATCGGTAACATTTGCTAATTTTACAGAGTTTCTTAAAACTTCTTGAAAAATAGCGAGTATTGATAAAGTTAGAACACAATTAATGTCAAAACTAAACTAAAAAAATATCTACACCTGAAAAGGGATTCCCTAAAATAACTAAAGAATAAATAATTTCACTACCCACTTAAAGACCCTACCAACTAAAGATAAAAGAATCAATCTATATGTAATGGTTTGAAGATTGAATTAAGTTGTCTGCTGTTGTTGAACAATCAAGATTGAACATCTGCTACTGTAATCTGCAGATGCAAGGAGGTCTCCCAGGGCTCCAAGCTCCGGGAATTCACTCCATTCTTTGAGCCCTGACGTCTGTTGTGACTCCAAATCCACTCTCCTCCCAACAATCATCAGGTTGAATTCATGCACAAGAGCGTGAAGCATCGTTGCGGATTCAGGCCCACCGCTTACCACCTTCTCTTTGTAATGTATATATCCATTGTTCTTGACATCCCTCAATATAACAGTATCCAACATTTTCCCCCAGTTGTCCCCATCCTCGTTTCCGGCCGCAACCAAATGAATCACCGTGAGGCTGACCCTGGTGTTTAACGCCATCCGTTTTGCGAAAGTTAAGGCCTCACGGTCATCGGGGCCACCAATAAATATGGCAGCTACCTTGTATTCTAGTTCTGATAATGGATCATCGTGAAGCGGCATGTTTATGTTGCTGCCGCGGTCAATCATGATTCCTACCGAACAAGGAGACATTTCCAGGACCCTGGAATTTAAGGTTCTTATGTATTTATCATCTGATTCTACAGATCCATCAATGTACCATCTTCGATGGAATGGGAGGATTATCAGAGATGCAGTTTTGTCCAATGCGAGAGTGCATACATCTTCCTGCATGAAATCAGGTGAAGAAACTGCTGTGAAGGCGTTAACAGATGCAGCTCCCCAGTTGTTTCCTTCAAATTTATCAAAATAAGCAATGATATTCTCGTAATGGGAAGGGCCACGAAGAGATTTTGTCTTATCATGGGAAATAAATATTGGAGTTGATTGTCCTCTAAGCTTCATGAGATGAAGAACATTAACACTCATTGGGTTATCTTTAGAAGGCCATGCCACATCCAACAAGTTGATTACCGCGCACACATCATCGGGTACATGAATGCAAGTAACTATGGACAGCGGTGAATGGAGCTTTAAAGCCATGAGGTTTCTTTTATTGTAGCCTGCATATTTTTTTGAAGGATCATAGAGGATTTTCACAAGCATAGGCACAATGCTTGACATAAACAAGACGAAATAAAACAGCATTGCGTAGAATTCTGCATTTATAACCTGCATTTAAACAAGTCTGGGATTAGTTTCAGGAAAAAAATTAACAATGAACAGAAAATCAATAGTAGTACATTAATGTTGATTATAAAGAATATATACCCTTTTATCATTCGCGTAGATGAACCCGGCGAGCTCAACAGCACCTTTAGAACACATTATAATGGCGATTGTGAAAGCATCCTTTAAAGGCATGTTGAAGTACAGGGGTGGCAGCAAGCAAGCCCCCAATTTCACAATTATAGCAATGGCGGCGTTTGATAGAGTAATTATTGATATATGATTTCGAATAATGAAGAACAATTTTTCGACCCTCATACCTGCTGTTGCAAATAACATTGGTAAAAAAAAATGATTTATCATAGTTTCTAACTTCTCAACCAAAGTAGATCCCACTGGTGGTCCATCCGGAATTGCCAGACCAAGAACATAAGGCCCCAAGTACCTAAACCTTGGAGCCCACCTAGCCATAACTATAGATGCCAGAAACATAAATATGAAGAGTCCCAAGTAAAAATTGTCTAGAGGTTTGCCTTTAGGGATACGTTTAATCAGGTGTTTGATTGCAGGCCGAATCACCAAAAAGACAAATGAAGTGTAGATGATAATAATGGCAAGCTGCTTAAGAGCATTGTCAACATTTTCTCTGAACAAGCTAATAATCATGAAGAGAAGAACGCACAAAACGTCAGAAACAATTGCAGAAGTCTGTGCGATTCTGCCTAGTTCTGAATTTATGATCTTCAATTCACTGAGCATACAAGTTATGACTGGATACGTAGAAGCAACATAACCAATTGAAATCCCCAAAGCTTTAACCCTTTCTTCTTCACTAAGACAGAAAACCTGTAGGATTGTTACTGAAAATACTGCCGGCGGTACAATGGCCAGTAATCCGATATATACGGCCCTTCTACTCACCGTTATCACCATGGCTGGATCCATTTTAACTCCACTAAAGAAGAGAAGGCCAGCATAGCCAAAAGCCCCAAATACTCCAATCCCGTTTATGGCTTCACTTGTTATCAATTTCCCGGAAGCAGTTTCTCCAATTACTGCTGGAGAGAGTATCAGGCCAGCCTGGTAATTCATAAAATCATCACAATTTGTTATTAACGTTAATGAACAATTACAAGAATATTATTTAAGCTAAAATTAAAGAGAACTTACGATAAGTTGAGAGGTGAACAAGGGGAATCCCAAGTGTTTGAAAGTGTAATGGCAGGCTTGAGAGATAATGAATACCAGAGCAATGACAAATTCAACTCTTGGGAAAGCGAAATCTAACCAATCTTCAATTCCTGATCCTCCTGCAAGTCCCTTCCACAATCCAGGTGATTGAATCTTAGATGGAATTACTATGCAGGTTTTTCTTTGTTCATAGAAGAAGCCTGGTTGGGTTGGAGAACTCATTACTAATTTAATGAATGTGGCTTAATTTGCTGATCAACTTTGCTAATTATTTCTTCTGCCAGCTAGAAGCCTCCTTCGTGGGTTCACAGGAAATCAAAGAAACTTTTTTTTTGTGTTTGTGTTTGAAAAAGCTGGAGAGGGGTGGATGGATTATGAAGACTAAAAGGGATCAAACAGCTTGCTAAATCTTTGATTTGTTATCAGAAACTAAAAGCTGTTTGTGTAATTAGTGGTTTTTCATTGACCTTGTGAACAAGAAAATCAATCTTCAATTCTATCTAATTGATTATTTCATAACTTATTCATTTAATAAAACTAAAACAAATCATAAATATAATTGGTCAAAAGGATCAAATGAATGATAGTCTAAGTTCTTATATATGAACCATTATGGTAATGAGTCAAATTATTTACGAGAAAAACTTGATATAATATCAAACAGATTTAAACTGTCTGTATTATGGTCAACTTTGAGGCTAATTGTTGTTAAATAGTTAAATCTTTTAATAAGATGATATGGTTATTGATAAGTTAATTTGTTACCTATGGTTTAGACGGGCGGAATTCACAATATGTGAAACAGTTGTTCATTGATGAAGTTAATTAATATCTGGTTTTAAACTTTAAGGGGCTAGCTTTGTGGTCAAAGAAGTTTGTTTTTTTTTTTTTTTTTGAGTTCTTGGGTTCAAACCTTGGGGTCACCTATCAATCACAATGGCTCCGTTTGGTTTACAATTTTGTATTTTTGGGAAAAGTTTTTTGAAAAAAGTTAAAGAAAAGTTAAATTGGACGGGTATTATGATGTAGGATTTACAAATTAATAAAATACTCCCTGTGTTTGTTTATTTACAAAACACCCCCTAAATAAAACATTAAAAGTTAACAAAAAAACCCCCAACTCACCCTCAAATACGGACGGCCGGCCACCACCACCGGAAGGTGGTTGGATTCATCGTATCGGCGCATGATCAGCTGGATCTTGCCGGTCATGTGTCGATATGACCTTTTCCGGCAAAGGCCAGATCTACGGCTAGATTTGGCCATTGATGACCAGATCTGGCCGTATTTTCTCGTCAACGATGGCCAACAAACGGTCGTCGTTGACCATCAACAACGACCATTTGTTGGCCGTCGTTACTGACTGGTTACGGCCAAAGATCTGGCCGTCAACGGCCAGATCTTTGGCCTTAGATCTGGCCTTTTTTGACCAGATCCACCATGGATCTGGCCGGAAAAGGCTAGATCGGCATACTATCGGCCAGATTCAGCTGGTAGTGTGCCATCCTACCAGATTTCGGCTATTTTTCGGTGGTGGTGGCCAAAATCTGGTAAATGTGGATTGCTGGGGTGTTTTTACAATTTTTAAAAAAATATTTAGGGGTATTTAATTAAATTAACAAATTTAGAGGGTTTAAAAAAAGTTGAATAATATTGAGAGTAGTATTCCCAAAAATAAGAGTTTTTTGTTATTTTATTGTTTAACTTTTTTGGGAATACTAAAAGTAGTATTCCCAAAATGCAACCAAACAAAGCTAATAACATTGTGGTTTATCTGATTATTTGGACTTGTACAGTGTTTCATGGACCATAACAATTAGTTGAGATACGCATAAACTGGTTCGAATACCCCGATTACAAAAAAATAAATAATAATAATAATACTAAAAGATAGATGCATGGAGAATCAAGCATATCATATTATAACAAGTATAGTCATAGTTTAAAAAATAAATTTCAATCAAATTGAAATAAGTAAGGTAGAACATGTTACCTTAAGCCCTTAGCAACCTTGGAGACTCTTAATTTCAAGAGAAATTAAGCAAAAGAGTATCCACACCAAGGGAAGAAGAAATTTGACCAAGAGGGAGATTTAGGGTTCTTAGAGATTTTTTCTCTTCTCTAAANCAATTGAAATCCCCAAAGCTTTAACCCTTTCTTCTTCACTAAGACAGAAAACCTGTAGGATTGTTACTGAAAATACTGCCGGCGGTACAATGGCCAGTAATCCGATATATACGGCCCTTCTACTCACCGTTATCACCATGGCTGGATCCATTTTAACTCCACTAAAGAAGAGAAGGCCAGCATAGCCAAAAGCCCCAAATACTCCAATCCCGTTTATGGCTTCACTTGTTATCAATTTCCCGGAAGCAGTTTCTCCAATTACTGCTGGAGAGAGTATCAGGCCAGCCTGGTAATTCATAAAATCATCACAATTTGTTATTAACGTTAATGAACAATTACAAGAATATTATTTAAGCTAAAATTAAAGAGAACTTACGATAAGTTGAGAGGTGAACAAGGGGAATCCCAAGTGTTTGAAAGTGTAATGGCAGGCTTGAGAGATAATGAATACCAGAGCAATGACAAATTCAACTCTTGGGAAAGCGAAATCTAACCAATCTTCAATTCCTGATCCTCCTGCAAGTCCCTTCCACAATCCAGGTGATTGAATCTTAGATGGAATTACTATGCAGGTTTTTCTTTGTTCATAGAAGAAGCCTGGTTGGGTTGGAGAACTCATTACTAATTTAATGAATGTGGCTTAATTTGCTGATCAACTTTGCTAATTATTTCTTCTGCCAGCTAGAAGCCTCCTTCGTGGGTTCACAGGAAATCAAAGAAACTTTTTTTTTGTGTTTGTGTTTGAAAAAGCTGGAGAGGGGTGGATGGATTATGAAGACTAAAAGGGATCAAACAGCTTGCTAAATCTTTGATTTGTTATCAGAAACTAAAAGCTGTTTGTGTAATTAGTGGTTTTTCATTGACCTTGTGAACAAGAAAATCAATCTTCAATTCTATCTAATTGATTATTTCATAACTTATTCATTTAATAAAACTAAAACAAATCATAAATATAATTGGTCAAAGGGATCAAATGAATGATAGTCTAAGTTCTTATATATGAACCATTATGGTAATGAGTCAAATTATTTACGAGAAAAACTTGATATAATATAAAACAGATTTAAACTGTCTCTATTATAGTCAACTTTAAGGCTAATTGTTGTTAAATAGTTAAATCTTTTAATAAGATGATATGGTTATTGATAAGTTAATTTGTTACTTATGGTTTATACGCGCAGAATTCACAATCTGTGAAACGGTTGTTTATTGATGAAATTAATTAATATCTGGTTTTAAACTTTAAGGGGTTAACTTGGTGGTAAAAGAAGTTTGCTCTTTTTTTTTTTTAGTTTTTGGGTTTAAACCTTGAAATCACTTATCAATCACAATAACATTGTGGTTTATTTGATTATTTGGACTTGTAAAGTGTTTAATGGACCATAATGATTAGTTAAGATACGCATAAACTGGTTCGAACATCCTAATTACAAAATAATAACAATAATAATAATAATAATACTTGGTTTTAAAAAACCAGAAAAAAAAAATCATGTTGACTTTAGAACAATTCTCGTCAACCACTTTAATTAACAACTCTTTGAGCTAATTAATAACCTACTTCTTTAAATAATAGAAAAAATATTCTTTTAACTTTAATTTCTTTAATTAACCATTTATAACACACACTTATAAAATCTCTTAAAACTCTATACAAAGTTATGTGTAGTCAAGATGGAATTGCCATTTCATCTGATTGAAATTAATTAAATTTTTTTAATTAATTATTCTATTAACTAGACTCTAGTTATCGCAAAATTGAGGGTTTTATTTCTATCGTTTTTATGTTTCCAGTCCTTTTAAAATCAATTTTCATTTACATATTGGTTTCGCTAATTTATATTATATTATTGGAGATACCAAGAACTATTGTACCCCCCTTTGTTTAACTTTTTAATCAGATTCTATTCTACTATGTTATCCTAAAAAAAGAAAAATATGTTTATTTTAATATTGTTCAAAATCCAATTATATTCTATTTGACTCAAAATATTTGACAATTAAATTTCTCAGTAAAAGTTTATAGATTAACAAAAACACCCTTACCCACTTAAGCAACAGTTGCCCGCCTACTGCCGTTGCTGCCATCGTCGGAACGATGTACAATTGGTCAGATCTGGTCGATCGTGTGTCGATTTACGGCCAAAGATCTGGTCATTGACGACAGCCAAATGACTACCAGATTTCTAGCCATCGTTTGGCCATAGATCTAGTTGTTTCTAGCTAGATCCATGGTGGATTTGATTAGAAATGACCAGATCGGCCAAATCCAGCCGATCATGCATCATTTCAGTGAATTTCGACCATCGTTCGACAGTGGTGGCGAGCTACTAGCAATCAGGTGGGTGGGTGGGGGTGTTTAGCTAAATTAATAAATGTAGGGGGTTAAAAAATAATCTAAATATTTTCATAAAATGTTTTCCAAAAATATAATAAACACATTTTCAAAATCCTATCATATTTTGAATAGAATACTATTCAGAAAAGTGTACCAAACAGAGCCGTAGTGTCTCTTGTCAATCATGTGCAGTCACCTTTACCCCCACCAGTTATATATATATATATATACATCTATTTTTAATATATTTTAGTAAAGAAATTATTTTAAAAAATCAATATTAGTCATTTTACAATTTCTTAAGGGGACATTTGGTTCAAGGAATGTTATATTATTGAGAATGTTATATTAATGGGAAGATACATTACTGAGAATGTTATATTAAATATGTTTGATTAGATTGAAATAAAATAAATCATTAATATATTTGGATGGGAGGAACAAAAGAATTATGGGAGAAAACTTTTACTGAATTGCCCTTCTTTTTTTAATACTATTATTATTATTATTATTAAGATTATTTTTTTAACCTCCTACATTTGAGAATTTAGCTAAAACACCCCAATCATAGTAAAATTTTAAAATTTAACAAAATACCCCAAGCTACCTAAGACCGTAGCTGCCCGCCGACCCTCATGACACCAACCCTCACCTTCTTTGGCCATCGGCCAGTGACCCTTTGCCTTCCCCCATTGTCAACTGTCCTTGCCATCTCCTCCACGTCATCATGACACTTCGTCTCCCCCACTGTCGGCAACGATTTGGCTTCCAATGATGTTTCCTCCATTTTTTGATGACATTTACCCTTCCCCTATGTAGATCGGCCACCATAGCTTCATCTCCACCTTCACCCGAGCTCTCCCACGTTGATTCCATCGAAGATTGGCTATGATTGATCGTATTCCGTCGGTGACCGTTCATCTTCTTTACCGGATTTCGCTCACTTTTCAATGATGTTTGGGCTCCCCAACACCTGATCTACCTCTCCTTATGTTTGATCATCATTTCACCATTGGTGATGGTGGTCGATTATGGTTAGGGCTGTTAGCCAAGTAGAGCTGCTCGGCTTGGCTTGACTAGGACTAAAAAAAAACTCAGCTCACCACTAGCCGAGTCAACTCGTGAACGACTCGTTATAGTAATCGAGCCGAGTTCGACTAGCATGTGGCTCGACTCGATAGGCTCGTGAGCCTAAACTGGCTCGCATACGCAGGCTTATTTTAGTTACTATTAGAAACTATGAGGGACTAAAATGTCATTTTAATTACTAAACCTTTGTAATTATGGCAAATCACCCCTAATGTAACAATTAGTAAAACACGAAAAACAACCCCTGAAACCAAAATCCCTAAATCAGAGCTAAACGAGAGGAAGACTTCAATCCCTAAAACTTGAAATCTTCCATCAATCAACATTCTTGTCCACGTTTGTTGTTCTTCTTGTTGTCAGATTAGCCGCAGAGCCCCGGAGAATTCGCATACCTTTGGATCTGAATGGCTTTCATATCACCAAAGAAAGAGAAGAACTCGTGAATCTCTCTTTCAGCTAGATCTAAAACTCTTTACTTGAACTGTTCTGTCTGTCAACAACAACAAAAGAAAGGAGAAAGAAAAAAAAAGTTGTGTGAAACAATTGGTTATGAAATTTTTCTACGATGATTGAGAAGAAACCTACCAAAAAAAAAAAAAAAAAACTAACTGCTTGTTAATGTGTAAGCCAATTGAAAAATAGAGTGGCACTGGTTTAGATTAGTTGTTTGTAGAAGGGAAAATAGAGAGAAAAATTAAGACTAAGTAATAGACAGTAGGAGCTAGAGAAAAGAAAGAATGTGATAGGAGAAATGAATGTATGTACTTTTAAAGCCCTTAGCATTTTTGTTTTCCCATTTTACCCTTTCAGGTGCTCATAATTTTTTTTTATACTTCCCGAGTCGCTCAAATTTGAGCTCGTTTAAAGAGCTCGACTTTAAGCTCGTTTGCACCCCCCATAAATTGAGTTCGAGCCGAGCTGTAAAATCCCCTCTTTTTTCGCGGAAAACTCGCCTCGGCTCAGCTCGATTATAGCCCTAATTAGTGGTGGTGGTGGTGGTGGTGGTGGTGTGGCTGGGGTATTAATTTGGGAATGTAATTTGGTGGAAATACAAGGATAGTAGTGTCTTAAAAAATCTTGTGTATAAGATTAAAATAGTCCATGAATATTCTTGTAAATTGTTTTCAGAATAAGGGCATTACTGTCTAAAAGTTTTATTAATTAGGGGTAAAATTGTAACAAAATTAAGATTACTAAGTAATCTTAGAATACCTAAGAAAATGGTTGTATTCAGATCACCACTTATATAACTTATGCGTTTGGATTATATAATGTTTTATTATAGGGGGATATTATATTAATTGAAAGATAAATTCCCTTGAAGATTATTGGGAATGTTTAGGGAAATGTGTTTGGTTGATTTGAATAAATTGGCGAGTAATATGTTTGGTTGGGAGGATAAATGAGTGGGTATGTTATGTGAATTACTAAATTGCCCTCCTTTTTGAATATTACTATAATATTATTCTTTATTATTATTTTTTGAACTATTTTTTTAACCCCCTACATTTGAAATTTTGCTAAAACACCCCAGCCATATAAAACTTTAATTTGTAGCAAAATCACCCTCACCCACCCCAAGCCACTGTCGACAACTAGCCACCACCGTTGGCAGTCGACAAAATGGCTCACGATTGGCCGTATATGGCCGGCCGTGTGCCAGCGAAGCCATTTGTGATCCATGGCCATTTCATGACCAAAGATGTGGCCATGAAACAGCCTTATCGGCACACGATCGGCTAGATCCCATAGGTCATGTGCCATTACGGTGATTGATAAAAGCGGCCTGCGGTGGTCTTGGGTGGTTGGAGGTATTTTGTTAACTTTTAAACTTTTTTATGTTTTTGGTGCTTTAACTAAATTCTCAAATGTAGAGGGGATGGGTAATGGTTATTTGGTAGACATTTAAGGGCAATTGTATCTGAAATAGTATTTAATTAAGGGCAAAATCAATATAAAAATTAGATTACCTGGTAATCTTTTAATAACAGCTTAGAGAGAGGGTATCAGATTATCCCTTACATTACCAACAGTAAACACTGTTTGCAATAAAAGATACTCATAATATTTTATTACTTGCAAATCAACCAACGGAATCTTGCAAAATAAACAAAGATTACCCTCATTATCTTATATGACCCTGATCCAAATGCACCCATAGTAATTATTATTGGTATTGGAGGATTACCATAATATTTTATTACTTGACAACCAAACAAGTAATATAAAAAGACATTATTGGAGTAATAGGAGATTACCTCCAACCAAATGCACCCTAAAAGTAAAACAATTTAAAAGTTAAATAAACCAAACACTTTAAATTTGTTTTATCAAAAGTTAATTATTTAAAAAGTTGAGTAAAAATGATTAAGAGAGAAGTTATAACTATCTCAAACTAAAACTAATAAATAAAAGATTAAAAAGAAATACTTTCACTAATTTTCATTTGATATTGTGATTAATATAAAGTAATATGGTTTTTTTTTTCTTTTTTTTTATCTTTCTCTATGTATTTATTCAAAGATTTAGATTGGTTCTAAAATTCATTTATATATGTTTATGCGTAAGACATATTTCATTGTTAAATCGTAAAACTAGCAATAGAACTAGTCAAACCTATCAAATCTAGGTGAAAAAAAATAATTCCCAATACGTTGTTAATTTGTCATCCCATCGAAAATTTTAAGCTAATAGGTGATGACTCAACATTGTATTAGTTTAATAGTCTCCTTAAGTTAGTAGGTAAGACCTCAATATTATATTAGTCAAATAGGCCCTTTAAGCTAACAAGCGAGGACTAGTAACTTTACTTTAGACCAGATTTTTTTTCATTTTCTTTTTATCTAGTTGAATGTGGGGTTTCAAATTTAAAATTTTTTTATCCAGTTATATGTAGGCATTCATGTATCCAATTGAATGTGGGGATTCAAACTTTACTTTAGACTAGATTTTCATTTTCTTTTATCCAATAACAAGGGAATTTGAACTTTAGACATTTCTGATACCATGTTAAATTACCACAGCTAAAAGGTTAACCTAGCAAATGATGACTCAATATTATATTAGACCATCAACTTGGATTTTTTTTTCTTTTTCTTTTATCCAATTTGAAGGGATTCAAACTTTAGTTTTTTTTTTTTTTAAATACCATGTTAAGTTGTCATCTTATCTAAAAGGTTAAGTTAGTAGTTGATGACTCAACATTATATTATATCAATAGGCCCCTCACATTCAACTTGAATCTTTTTCTTTTTCTTTTATCCAATTTGAAGGTATTCAAATAACTTTAGATTTTTTTTATCTAACACCATATTAAGTTCTCATCCCACCTAAAAGCTTAAGCTAATAGGTGAGGACTCAACATTATATTAGTCCAATATTAATGAGTCATATTTAGAAAAACATATAGATTTAAAACTACCGGCCTTATTATATAAAGCTTTAACATTACTAGTTGTATTAAAAAATCAAATAATTTCAAAACATTATAATATAAATAAGTATTTTGTACAAGTTCTAACTAATAAAATCATGATTCTCTTTTTATATAATTTTATACTGAATAAAATACAAACTTATTGTAACCCCCCTAACTTAGTGTACTCATATTGGGTTGGTTGTAGCATAAAGGAGTAATGAGAATGTGGTATATTCTTTACCTTCGATTGTTTTCTTGTGGTGAATGAGGAATCTTTGAATGCGGTATGTATATATATGTTTATAATTGTTTGTGTTTTGTGTGACTTCCGTGTGTTGGATGAATTGAGGTTTGAAGAGGTTGGTTGTAGTGAATGCACTATGGTGGTATTGTATGTCTTGTGTTCTTGGAAGAGTGTGGAGTTATGAATTAGGAATTGACGTCTGTGGAGAAGAAACTTTCGGGTGTAATATATGTATATAATCTTTGAATTGAAATGTATATATGTATGGGTATATATATGTTTATGATTGTTTGTGTTTTGTGTGACTTCCGTGTGTTGGATGAATTGAGGTTTGAAGAGGTTGGTTGTGGTGAATGCACTATGGTGGTATTGTATGTCTTGCTTTTGGAAGAGTGTGGAGTAATTGATGTCTATGGAGAAGACACTTTGGGGTGTATGTATATATTCGCAAGATTATCGATGTACGTGGATGCATTCGAGGGTCTTGCTCAATCCCGCTCAGGTTGAAGGAACGAGCATTCTTGCAAACCCAGAAATGTTAGATGTGGATTGTGGAATATGCATGAGGAACAACATGCCTTGGAATATGTGATTTTGGACATTCTTGCAAACCTAGAAATGTTAGATGTGGATTGTGGAACATGCACGAGGAACATGTCTGGGAATATGTGATTTTGGACAAAGAGGTGAACGACCAATAGAACAGTGCCATTCATCCTTGGAACAAGTTGCACAAAAGGAGGAACAGGCGTTCCATGGTGGGATGAAGGATTTTCCCATTTTTGGGCAGAGTCATGAACGACCTATGGAACAATGTTGTTCATGAATGGAACGGACATTACTCACCTTGGAATAGTCATTGCAAGATGTAACATGCAAGGGTGTAATTGCCAGTTTTTGAGGTATAAAATGGGGTCCTAAGTGTAAGAATGTAAAGTCTATGGATTGTTTTGAAAAGGAAGACAAATTTAGGGGTCTTTTTGTAGTCAAAATACTGACATGTTAGGGACTCTCTAGAAATAGCACAAAAACTCAA